ATATTTCCTGTTTCTTTTCTTCTGTTTTTTGATTGCTGTATCTTCAGAAGTAAGTTAAACCATGAATGTTTTCCTCTCTTGACAATGAGTTTGTTTATCTACACATACACCTGTGTACGCAAAGAGATGTGTGTTTTGTGTATGTGTCTTGCTGTGTCCTGGTTTTGCTTTTGCTGGCAGGCACAGGTATTCATGCCTGTATCACTGGTGCAGGATTGTATATGTGTGGGTACGTGCATTAATGTTTTTGTTGAATACACACGCATGGATATGGGCATCCAAATTCTGTCTACTCTCATGAAATCTTCCATGACGCTCGCTGCTAGAACTCAACATTTCAGTATAAAAGTAGCACTTAGAGCAGCAGACCTACCTGTAGCATAACGATGTGTGTTGATATCCTAGCAAGCAGTTAGAACACTTTGGTGAGTCACTAGGTCCACATTCTACAGTATGTTACCTCCTTAAATATACTGCAGAATTAGTATAAGTTATATTCCCATGAGAAAGACTGCAAATCCAGTTTCATTTGATGCCCCCAACTTCTCATTCTTCAGACCAATTCCTAAGCAGTCATACCAATATGAATATGAAAAGTCTAATACAATTACTACTTAACATGATATTTCAGCTATGGGCAGCCAAGTTACAACTTGTGCAAATGAGCACTGAACAAGTTCTCCTAATCAGCAGAATGAAAAAAAAATGTCCTTGTCTAATAAAGTTTTCTAAAGAAATGTTTGTTTCTCTGTTGTTTTTTATTTATTGCTTTCTCCCTTACTTTTCAGAAAACTATCAGAGAAGTGCTACAGCTGGGAAGCTTGTGTACATCATGCTCATTTTCAAGAGCGTTTTGTATGGGATGTTTGTGATGGGATTGATGCTTATGTCCCAGGAGAGCAACAGAGTTCTACTTTGTACACATTTGTCCTAACTCATTCTAACTGTACAGGAGACCACTTTGGAGAAAATCAGGTCTTAAAGTTAATATTTATATAAATCCACTTCTCTACAATTATATTGTGTCTCTCATCATTTTCAAGAGAACAAGCTAGTGAGAATGAAAGGGAGGGGTTTAGACAAAAGGGGGAAAGAACTCCAGGGAGATATTGTGCAAGACAATGACTGAAGTATTATCAAAATGTGTGGTCTTTTTAAAGAAAAGAGTAAAAAGGAAAATTAGGAAGAATAGCTAAATAAGAAAAATAAAAAAGACCAAGAAAAGCAAAGGAGGAAAGAAAAAAGAACGCAACTCAAAAAAAGGGAAGAGAATCTAATCTGTGGGGGAGAAGGAAGAGGAATCAGAGTGTGGTTCTTTAAAGCTGTGTTTGTGGGCACCGTTTCTGTCCAGCATAAACTGTAAAACCAAGGGATTACTAATCCTGGAGAGTGTTTCTGGAGATCCTTCATCCACTTTGCATCTCATTAAGATATTACCTTATGGCATAAGTTAAACAATTGGTAATTCAGAGGTTGCTCACTTGGGAATAAATGGAGAACAGAGTCATACTTTTTATATGTAGATGTATCCTAAATAGAGGTAGGAATAATGCAGGCCAAGATAGAGGAGTGCTTGTGGAGCTTTGGAAGCAGAACATCTGGGAATGCAATAGCAAGGCAGAAGGAGTAGGAGGCACAGAGTGAAGACTCTAAAGGGAGCTTCTGTCCAGCATAGCCAGGGTCTTCAACAGAAGGGGGAAATATCTCTAAACGCCTCAGCAGAAAATGGTACCTCAGAATCAGCGCAGATGACATGCCAAAATGTACTTGAAAATATCTTTAAGTGAACAGCAGTTGAATTTTAGCAAAACAGGATGCGGTTTGACATTTACTCAAAAAAAACATTTTGACAACGCATAAGCCTCTCTTACCACACCACCACCCCAGCCTCTCAGGATGAGGCACAGGGTGCAGCTCTCTGTTCACCATATTACAGTTGGACAGAAATAGTGACATATAAGGGCCTTATGAAAGTTGGTGGGTTTTTTGTCTCATGTTATCACACAATCTTCTTGCCACTGAAGTCTGCAGTTGGGTTTTGCATGTGCAGCTGCTGTTTCTGTTGTGCAACACACAAAAAACAAAAGACTTGTGGGTTTTGGGGAGTTACTGACCTGGTTTTACAAATTAAGAAAAAAAAAAAAAAACAAGCTGGTTTTTCCAGGTATCTCAAAACAGCAAAACAAGATGATAAAAATCATATACTTGCAGAAAAAAATTGATAGGAGGGTACTTCTGGAGGTCTCTCTATCCAAATTGCTGTTCAAACCAGGGCTAACTCCAAAGCTAGACCATGCTGCTCAGAGCTTTGTCCAGGTGATTTCTGAATATTTTCAAGGACAGAGATTGGACAAGCTCTCCGAGAAATCTGTGCCAGTGCTGAAGCACCCTCAGGAGGAAGTATTTTTTCATTATGTCTAATCAGAGTTTATCTTGCTGCAGCTTGTTCCCCTTCCACTGTGCCCCTCCAAGAGTCCCACTCTGTTTAGGCAGTTGGAGTCAAGCAATTAGTCGTCCTTTAGCCTTCTCATCTCCAAGATGAACAAAATCAATTCCCTCAGCCTCTCCTGTTGTGTTTCTGCTCCAGTCCCCTGATCATCTTAGTGACCTCCTGCTGGACTCTTTACAGTTTGTTGATATCTCTGTTGTACTGGGGCTGGGGCAAGGTAGGGGTGTGTATGGACAATAGAGATAGTATTCCAAATATAGCCTCAAAAGTGCTTCAACATGCTAACTGCATTCTTGCTAATGTAACCAAAAATGTAATTAGCCTTCATTGCTGAAAGGGCTTGCTGCTTATTCATGTCCAATTGCTTTTCTGCAAAGCTGCTCCCTAGCCAGTCAGCCAATATTTAAAGGACTCAGATAAAGGTTCTCCCACCTTTTCCCCAGGGGATGTGCCTGTAATTCAGTAACTCCTATCCCAGTGAAGAAACGCTGCACAAAAATCACAAATTGAAATTTTCCCTTGAAGATCAGTATGCTTATCCTCTATATGTGGTAATACAGACGCTTTTTTGCCCGACAGCATTTACAGTGTAAATTGACATAATTCAGATTGGGATAAGAATAATCTCAGAATATGGATGCCATGTCCAATTACGGAATGTTCCCATTCTACATCCTTTCTTTAAACCTTTCCAAAACCCTCTGACTGGAAACACATTGTTATTCCTCTTTATTTCAGAACTAACAAATTATGCAGGTGACTTTTACACATCACGAGGACTTTGCTTAGTGCTTTCTTGCTTTAGGACAATTTAGGACAATTTGTTATATTATCATGGAATGCTTACACCAAAGAGTACCTTGTGCTATGACTAATCCCACTGCATCAATGACACTATCTGGGAGAATGGTGTGCTGGAAAGACACTGGTAGGGTTTTTTGTGTGAGATACAAGACTCTTCATGCCAAGCCTGAAATATCTGTTAGGGAGAGCTTATATGTAAATAAAATTACATTCACATCCTGCTTGTTCATCCCTCCACATTTTTGTCTTCAAAATATGGATGCTTTCTGGAGCAGTGTTCGTATTAGGGCTTAGCTCAAAGTCAGAGAGAACTACAAGACTTTGAATGAGGAACATCACAAAGATGCCTGAGAGAAAAAAGAAACTCAGAACTCATCCATAGAGAAGGATTAAACCAGATTAATATAGATTGTGTTGCTGCTTATTAAGCTGTGAGAGAGGTATAAGTATGAGGCATAAAGAGATACACATGACACACTTGGTGGCATGTGCTTCACTATGTAGCCAGATGTAAACTAGATAGAACAATTTCTGAATACATGGGATTCTACTTGTTATTTTTCTTGAACGTGAATTCATTCTAAGTTGCGTACTACTTTGTACTCTGTCCCTTTCCTCTTTATATCCTCCGTACACATGTAACTTTTCAGGACTGTCCCTATGCACTTGCAGATCATGACAATGGCTGCTCTTTTGTCATTTTAATCTAATCTGTGGCATTAGTTCTGTTTAGCTGTTATTTTTATATCATCTTTTGTTCAGGTCCCTTCTCATTACTATTTACAATCTTCTACCAATTTCTTATGATTAGGGTAACCTTTCCAAGCACAGTGCAAAGCATTGTGGCTTTCACTGCTTGATAATATTCAGAGAGGAATGAGAGTGCCCATAGAAGTCACTGTCTCTGAAGTATTTCAGACTTAAACATATGTATATTTCAAGTAACTGTTCTGTGTCAGGTAAGAAAATGGCTTAGGGAACAATAATTTGTGGCTGTGTAGATTGCAGTTTCCATTTCCTTTATTTTATGTCTGCATTTGGTTAACAATCTTTATAGATTGTTCTGATGAGTTCGAGAATAAATGGCTGATCAGGAAAAAGGAATTCAGCAACTAACCTGCACTTCAAAGACCTATTCTGCCTCTCTTGTTCCAACTCCTCAGCAACACCTGGTTTGTGAAGAAGCTATTGGCCTACATACCCTTTTCCTGTGCCGACAGCGGCTCCCTTCTCAGGGAAGGTGCTGGAAAGGAGAGGAGTTTATGTAAAGAAAGCAAGGGACTTTGAAGTGTTGTGTCCAAACTGCTGGCACAGAAATAGACAGCTGAATAGTTCATCTTCACAGATAAAATATCCAAATAGAAATCTGTGAGGTTTAACCGCTTAGCTTCGTATCCATCGTGAATGTCACCCTTTTGTTGCTGATTTGGACCAAAGGAATAATAGACCAATTGCAGCCCCTTCCCTGGCTGCTGCAGATACCAGTACATAAAATTGTGATTATCATTTTGACTGCATGTCAGAGTAGCTTTCTCATCTTCTTTCAGCACAAGACTTGAAGTTTGGGTGATTTTAGCTCCTGTAAGACAAAGCAAAACAAAATCACAGTAAAACGAGTAAGCTACATTCTCCCAGCAGCAGAGCAGGTATCACAGCTCTACTGATTCCTTACTTGCTCCAAAGAAGTACATGGCCACACACCAAGCTGTCCACATCCTCATTTCTGCCCCAGCAGTCAGGGAGCATGCCCCTGTAACGGACTTATATAGGTCTGCTTCACGTTTCTTTTAAACCAATAGCAGAGATCTCTGTAACGGCTAAATCTATGCTGAAAACCAAGCTCCTTCCTGCAAGAAATTTCAAGCAAACACTTTATTTGAAGTGTATTTGTTGAAAACACAGAGAAAGTTTCAAACTGACTCAGATGGAAGTTTTTCTTATTCTATCAGACAGGATATTGTCATATATGACAATTGTCTTTTTATTTACCCTTGTATGCTTTATTTTATCTTTTGATATTTTGTTTCCAGAATAAAACAGAAAACATTTAGTGTAATCAAGTAAAGTGGTTTTCTTGTATTGGTGACTGCTAGAATTTTTCATTCTGGAAAAAGAGCAAATACGATACATATGCTTAGATCTTAATTCTTTTTTTTCCTTTTCCACCTGTCAGAACCAGCAGCCATGATCTTGTTTTGGGAAGAGCTTTATATGGAAGCCTGGTTTAACCTTAGCACACACAAAAAGTGAAGGAAACTTGAGTTGTTCCTAAAGCAAACATCTAACAATTTCTTTTCCCTTAGTTGCCCCAGCAGTACCTGTACTAATTATAAACCCAACTTCCAGGATTCAGAGTGATACCACTGTCTCTGACACAACCATTTAATCTGTGCTAAGAAGACTGATCACTGTCCTACAGCGGTATTTTGGATGCACAGTGAGAATCATCACAGCAGTCATGTTTGCCATCTCTAGCTTTGAAATGAGGCCCCAGAGACCAATGTCAAAATCAAACAACCCAAGATCTGTGCTACTGAACAGATTCTTTCTTATTTAAGTGAAAGGATGCCGTCTGGTGGAATGAATGGGTCTTTACAGTGACCCTTAGGGGCTGTGTTTCCAACAGTTCTCTGTTTTTGCATTCGCAGAACTGCATGGAAAGGGGACTGGAACTAATGCACCAGAGATATGTATGTCTGTTATTAAACTGGTGACTGTGAAATGCTGAATTGAAAGTGTTGACTCAGAAATACACAAGTTCTTTATCTGTAGGAGAAAGATGTCAGAGCTGATATTGAGAATGAGATTTCACAAAGACAACATAATGCAGCTGATGGAGGGAACTAGTGTGTGAAGTAGCTGATGAGGTGCCTAACTAGATGTGCTGTCAAAGCTGCCCTAAGATCGAGGTAAATCAGCTGGAAAGAGAAACCTCCTTTCACACAGAACACAGAGTGTCCTGGTTTCAGCTGGGACAGAGTTAATTTTCTCACTAGTAGCTGGTATAGTGTTATGTTTTGGATTTAGTGTGAGAATAATATTGATAACACACTGATGTTTTTAGTTGTTGCTAAGTAGTGTTTATACTAAGCAAGTCAAGGATTTTTCTGCTTCTCATGCCCAGTCAGCAAGAAGGCTGGAGGGGCAAAAGAAGTTGGGAGGGGGACACAGCCAGGACAGTTGATCCAAACTGGCCAAAGGGATATTCCATACCATATGACGTCATGCCCAGTATATAAACTGGGGGGAGTTGGCCAGGAGGGGCTGTTCACTGCTCAGGGATTTTTGCTTGGGCATCGGTCAACAGGTGGTGAGCAGTTGCATGGTGCATCACTTCTCTTTTCTTGGGTTTTA